AAGCAGTGCAATCCTGGAGTTGTTCAGGGCCCCAGTTCCACGAAAACCTAGTAAGGAATTGCTGTGAGGATAGTTGATCAGCTTCAGTAGGAAATGTCCAGCTTTGTGACTTTACAATAAAATGATCACAGAAAGGTGAAGAGGAAGTCAAGGTCTGTTGTTTCAGAAAGGGAAAAGAAACCTCTGACCATGTGATTTCTTTCCCCGGAGTTAAGTTCAAATTTGGGGTTTCAATTGGAGGAAATTAAAGGAAGAATGTAATGAAGGATGTAGTTTTGTATGTAAGAGCTTTTTTAGAAATTTTTCTTTTTTATGTTTTTAATCAATTTTCCAAGGAACAAAAAACTGAAATAAATTAAAAGATACGTGGAACAAATTTTAATTTGATTAACCAAGCTATGTGGTTAACTATTGTTCCTTTTTCTCATCTCACCATCGATCTCCCTTAGGTACTTTCTATGTTTCATAGTACACTCTCTGCTATAGCAAAATATGCTGGCTGATTCAAAAGTGCCTTAATATGTGGGGCACATTATTTTGAACTTGCTGCTAATGCAATAGGAATACCAATATTTCCTGTGATCTGTCATTTGAGCTTCTCATTTATTGCTCCACATGTAAGTTATAAGCTGACGTGAATGCTAAAAAGGCATTCAGAGCTTCTTTGGCACTAAATAAGTAAAATATCAACAGTAAATCACAAATATTTGCAAATGTTTCAAGGAATTGCAGTGGCAAAAAACCTGAAGTTCAGCTTACAAGATCCAGTACTAATAAACAGCTGGTTCTTCAAAGCTGGTACATGCATAATGAACATTTGCAATCTGCCACGCAGGCTTTTGAGGAGATGATTGGAACCTGACAGCGATAGTCACATACCGCAATTTGCATTTCAATATATGAGTAATTGATTTTAAATATCTGTAAAAAAGTCTTTCCTCCTAAAAACTTGATCAGTGCCTTTCCTGGTGGTGAGCAATCACGGCATTTTAACTGGGTTAGTCTCACTGGCTCTGAGACCTGTTGGTTTCTGTGGAGTTCCATGATGATGGGTTTGTCTTCCTACCTTCTTTAGTAGCCATGTGTTTCTATATCCAAATGACAAGCTACTTAATTAAATTCTTCTGGTCAATTAAAAACAGGGAGCAACTAATTTTTAAATTGTTTTATGTTCAGCAAATGAAGTAATATGTTTAGCTTGAGCTACTAACATCTACACAGCAAAATGATAGTTTTCTTGGTAGAAGGCAAAATCTTGGACTAACACCTTTGAAAATTAAAGACATTCTGAAAAGATTTAAACTGAAAATTGTGCCGTTTCCTAGCACAT